AATTTACTTTCTAAAATAGTTTTTTTTAAATATTTCGAACAATGTTTGATGTATAACAGTGAAAATTGGTATACAAGGATTTTTTGGTACGACAAAACGAACCATAGTTTTACTGTAGCTGCTAGAGGGCGCTCTCTACTGTACCTGTAGTGTATTAAAATGACCGAAAAATGTTTCTTAGCGCAATTTTTTGCTTTTTGAATAAAAAAACTGATTTTTCGCACTTTCCAACATAAAAAAGCTCTCTTGTGAATTTTCGTTATAGTTAGCCGTTTTTGAGATATTTCGATTTTTAAGGTTCGATGCATTTTTAATTAGTTATGATAAAATAACGTTAAAAAGTAAGTATCTCGATAATTTTTAGAAGTAGGCTGTGCCTGCAAATATTTTTGAAATTGAAAGCAGAATAAGGTTAAACGTCAATTAGTTGACAGTTAGTTTTGTTGTCTGTCGAAACCTGAAACGTTTTTTTGCAATTGTGAATGCACGAAATATAGTTTCTTTTGCCTGTTTTTTTTGTAAGTTTTATAATAATGCCATTTTTATTCACCAATCAAGAGTTAGCTGATATTCATTTTGTGTATGGCTTTGTAAATGGAAACGCAGCAGAAGCAACCAGAGAATACGCACGAAGATTTCTAAACAGACGACATCCAACTCGCTCAGTATTTGTAAGATGCATCGCCAAATAATTGAAAATGGTTTTGGAAATCTCCAAAGGGATCAATACATAAATGTTCGTCAGCGCAGATTTACCCGTATGATTCTGCGTGAGCTTGATAGAGATCCGACCACAAGTGTTAGGAGAGTTTCTGGTGCCTTGGAAATTTCAGCAAGCCATGTTCACCGTGTTCTTAGAAATGACCATAGACGTCCTTACCATTTGCAACATGTGCAAGGACTACAGCCAGGGGACGGAGAACTAAGAATCACATGTTGTCAGTGGATTCTTGATAGAACTGATAATAATAGGGAATCTTTAAGTAACGTTTTATGGACCGATGAGTCATGCTTCACTAGACGTGGAGTGGTAAATTTTCATAATCAACATATTTGGTCGCATGAAAATCCGCATGCAAATTTTCAGCATGAATTTAGTGTGAACGTGTGTGGATTGGTATCTACCGTAATCGACTATTTGGACCCTACCTTTTGCCTGCAAGGTTAAATGCTGCGACCTTCTTGGAATTTTTAAAGGCTGAATATGCAAATATGTGGGATGATGTTATGTTAGATTTAAGAAGATTGGCCTGGTTCCAGCTTGATGTTTGTCCAGCTCATTATTCGAGAATAGTTAGAAACTGGCTGGACGAAAAGGATCGGCCGTGGAGGACCAGTCGCCTGGCCTCCACGATCCCCTGACCTAAATCCATTAGATTTCTTTGTGTGGGGATTTCCAAAAGAAAAAGTGTACCAGACTCCCGTAAACCACAAGAGATATGCTAATAGACAGAATGAGGAATGCATGTGATGAAATAAGGCCTTATTTGAATAATGCTATACCACGTTCGATCATTCGTAGATGTGAATTGTGTATTGAATAATTGGGTTTACATTTCGAGCATACATGCTTTAGATTTTGTATGTTTGTCCTAACTATCCAATAGCATTTTAGTTGTAAATAATAAATTTAATTTGTTAAAAATAAACAAATTAGTATTCTGTTTTTTTGCGTTTATTTGGAGTTAGGAATTATTGCTGTGTTTAAAAACATAGTCTAAACGATCATCTTAATTACTAATGCCCAAATCGAAAATGTAAAAAAAAATATTATTTTCCAATAAATAATTAAAAATGCATCGAACCTTAAGAATAGAAATATCTCAAAAACGGCTAACTATAACGAAAACTCATAGGAGTACTTTTTTTGTTGAAAAGTGCGAAGAATCAGTTTTTTTATTCAAAAAGCAAAAAATTGCACTAAGAAAAATTTTTCGGTCATTTTAATACACTACAGGAACAGTAGAGAGCGCCCTCTAGCGGCTACAGTAAAACTATGCCCATGGTTCATTTTGTCGTACCAAAAAAACCTTGTATACCTATTTTCACTGTTATACATCAAATATTGTTCGAAATATTTAAAAAAAACTATTTTAAATAGTAAATTTAAACACCCTGTATTTCGGAAGCCACGCATTTTTCGACCCATGTTTATATAGACTTTATGCATTAATTTTAAAAGTTCTATCGAATCTTAAAGTTATTCAACAATAAACTGAAACACCCTGTATATATTGATTATATATTTGATAACACCCTGTATATATTGATTATATATATATATATATATGAGCCACTTACCACTTCAGTTGGCCCACTTCGAGATTTGTACCAAAATATGCCTTTATAAACTAAACATGATGAAACTATTTACTTCTAAAACAATTTATTTTCTCAAAAACATTTTAGATACACTCTAGTAGTAAAAAATACATATTTGAAATCACTTAGACCTATATCTAATAGAATAGCTGAACAAATAAACAATGTGCGAATACATGCGCGAAGTTAACAAAGCAACAATTGAAAGATTACCATTGGGTAACATCACCTTTATTTTTTGGGGCATAGTGTTAACCAAGTTTTGGCAAAAATTTGGTGTAAAACAATCCCATATTTCTTGAAGCTTTTGTCTCAGTTCGGTGATTGTACGAGCAGGATATTGTCGTAGAACCTTTTTCATCTCGTGCCACAAAGTTTCAATAGGTGACAGATCTGGACTGCTAGAAACCCATTTCAAAAGTGGTACATTATTTTCTTCCATCCATTTTATAGCATTTTTTGAGGTATGGCACGCTGCACCATCTTGCTGAAACACAAAATCTTGGCCGGATGTCAAACATTCTTCCATCACTGGTAAAAGCGATTCTTCTGAAATTGCCAAATATTTGTTTGTATCCACATTTCCATCAATAAAATGAAGTTTTCCTACTCCTTTTGATGACATACTGCCCCAGACCATAATGGAAATTTCACTTTTCTCTTCAGACAGTCAACATGGAATGCTTCATTTTTTTTGCGAATAACTCTACTGCGACTTTCACCAACACAAACTTCGAATCGGCCTTCAACACTTCATTGTATTGCACACCATTGTTGAGGTGTCCATTGTCTATGTTCTTTAGCCCATCTAAGCCGATTTTTCTTTTGCAGTGGAGTTAATAGTGTCTTTTCTTTGGCCTATTAGCAAGTTGTGCAACTTTAGGGTTTTTACTTCACTTTTTTTTATAAGAAAACTTACCTTGCAAGTGCTAAATCCCAGTTTGTGGGCCTCTCTATGAGTTGTGGACCTCGAAATTCTCCTTCCAACAGCGTCACTCCACAGAGCACTTAATTGTAAATAATTGGCACGCCCGTTTTTCACGATTAATGCTCTTCGGTTGGCATTTGTGATATTACTTTTTTTCACATATCGTGGCTTAATATTAACTGAACCAGTTACGTTATATCTTCTAACAATATTTCTCACACTGTACCGCGATAAGTCTAACAAAGTTGCAATTTCTGAATTTGATTTCCCAGAATTAAAAAATTTCTTTATCAGTAACCGAATTTTCTCACTAATAACCTTTCCTCTACCCATTTTGAAAACCTTAACTACCGAAAACTATTTTAAACGTATTCTGACAGCTGTGATTAATAAAAACAATTGTCATAGCTTTTATTTTTCACAGCCACCTATGCGTTATACACTGATTTTGCATTGAAATGAAAATAGGTTGATATGCTGTAATTGCAAAATGTGTTATTTTTATGCTGCAAATTTGATTAGGGAGTGATAAAGTTGGTGTTTTCTGATATACTATATATTATCCAAATATTCATTTTTAATATTTTAAACCTATAACACCCTTGCTACATTTTTATTATTTGTGTTTGATAAGAAAAAGATTTCAATAGTTGGGCCAACTGAAGTGAGAAGGGGCTCGTATATATGAGCAGTAGTCATCTATATATATACAGGGTGACTTTGAAGTTGAGTCATTAATTTTCAGATAATGATTGTAGAAGGAAGATAAACCAGAATATGTGTGTAAAAATAAAAAAAATTAAAAAAAAAGTTTACCTTGTTTTATAAAGTATCCTCCCGACAAGTATTTCAGTGCGGACCTGTATTTGATCGTGAGGTCCCCTGTGAGGTCTTAAGTCACCTGATTCACGAGCCCGTTGTACTACATTAACAAAGGCACGAGGGGTTGGTTGCACTCGATTGGGAAACCGATCCGCATAAACATGTGCCATTTTTTATTTCGTTTGAGCCACGCAACAGAAACTATTCACACGCTAACCGACAGATACTGACTGTATGTATAACTGAACTGAATAAAACACTTAATTGCAAAAACGTCGTTCCAAATTCTTTCGCTTTTTTGTTTCCGATGCGATGAACCGGTAAGGCGGATTATATCCGTTGTTGCCAAACACGAGTACATGATATTATTATTGAGACAGGGCGGTACTCAAACTTCCAAAGGGCTATAACTTTGTTACTTTAATTTTACCAGAAAAATGGTAAAGGAAAAAAACATTTCTTTTGATCAGATCTACTCACTGTTAAAATAAATGACTCAACTTCGAAGTCACCCTGTATATATATATATATATATATGTATATTTAATGCTTTGTTCCCTCCATGTGATAAGTAAGGCGGACCGACCTCCGTAGTATACATGCTTTATAGCCCAATAATATTCGCATATATAGTATGAGTCAACCATATTGACACAGATTTTCAATAGAGGGGTAAGAGTTTTGAAAAAAAAAATTAGTACCTGAAGTATATACGGTGTCCCCTCCAAACTATATATGTTTTAATGAGAAAATTCAAACCTTGACCCCTCCAGGAATGTTGTCAGATCTCCGGAGGGCGGTTAGTCCATTATTATTTGAATATACCCGATAAATGTAAGCGTTCTGAATTTTGGATTATATTTGATAATACGGAAACAACTAAATTGAGCGAGAAAGTTTTTTATTCACAACTAAATTCTTAAAACTAGGGGAATTCAGTACAAAATAATAAATTTACTTCAAATTTAGTCTTATGAAGTGCTGAATCTTGGATTTTATGACTGCAACACTCCTTGTATTATTCGTTGATTTTCCAAATTCTTTTATCTCGGAACTACATGGGTAAGTGCCTTTTGATATGAAGCTTTTGAAATGTTCCTTCAGTGATTTTATTTCTTCAGTGGTCCAACCTAAGTAAATAAAATATATTGTAAATAGTAAGTAATGGTACATCAGGGAATTTCTATTAAATTAATTTGGCAAATGACAGATATATAAATACCTCTTTTTTTATTAGTGTCCGGTTTCCTTTTCTTGTTGCTTTCATCATTTCCAGTAAAATCTAAAAAAGTGATGGGGGCTTAAGTCTATAGTTATTATTTTATAGAGTGTTTCAATTAGGTACATAGTGAAAAAAGAAAATATGTAACAGAATTAAAATATGTTCAAAGATGATATTGCCAAATAATCAGGAATAATTATTTGAAAGTATTAAGCAACGATCCCTCGAACAGATAATTATTTTTAAAACCTTTCTACTAATTTATAATTAACTCACTATTTTTTTTTGACCCATCACACTCCATCGAAGAAGTTTCATCTTGGTTTGTATCAATAGGGCTTTGTTTATCTACAACAAACATGAGAATATTGTTTCAAGTATAAAATAAAGTTACTTAGGTCTGAAATTTAATATCCAAATTTTATTAGAATTTTTAGGCAGAATACTTGTTGAACATTCTGCATTTTAGATACGTATATTACCTTTATCATTATCGTCTACATATTCATCAATATTAACTTGAATTTCTGACAAAGATTTGCCTTCGAACTCCGATGGATTTCCTTTTTCAATCATAGAAAGCAGTTTCACTACTCTGGCTGTCTGATATATATATCAATTGGTAATCTAAAATAATAAAACACAGTGATATTTTATTTAACAAAATCATATACCTGAGTTGTATATGAAGTAAATTAAAGCAAATTGTGTTAAAAATATCTGTTATGACTGTATCACAATTTGGTATGGATTGTCTAGTTGAATAAAAAATTATTGTATAAAACAGGTGTTTATGATAGAATCTAACTTACTCATAAAACTCCTCATGGGTCTTTTCGGTATGACCCATGAATTTGGAAAACTGCTTACGATCGTTTTGTGACATGCTAAGAACTTGCATTGCTGTTGCTATATGTTTGCGCAACCTATTGCTAGTTATAGCTGTCCCATTTTCTAATTTCATTTTATTCGTTAGATTTCTGAATGCAACATCCCCTTGAGCCCACTTGAGTTTACTATTAGGTAATGCGAAAATATATTGGTTATCCGGAGGAATATATTTATCTCTATTTTCAATCAGTATTGTGATAAAGTGGTGTAGCAATGGAGGAACTAATATGACAACGGCACGTGATCCTTTTCCACCATTTACGACTCTTCTGTAGTGTTTTGTTAAGATTTTTTCATGTTCCGATAATGCATTCTCGAAGTCTTGAAAATCTGTTTTTCTTTCGGAACAATAGTCATTCACTTTAAGATACTGAACATCACCAATTCTGCGTCTACTGAAAAGGATTAACAGAGCCAGATCACATTGAGCCAATAACTTGTATGTCTCATTGGAGTCTATTTTATCAAGAAACTTTTTCTCACAGTCTTTCGCATATTTCAGTGTTTCTTCCCTAAAGACTTTTACGTCTTTAATCAGTGGTATTAAAAGTGGTTTTTGCCAACGTTTTTCATTCAGGTCTTTATTGGCCACTGAAGAAATTTCAGTGTTCCATCTGTCTTCAACTAATTTTTTAAAATATTTGACTTTCCGACGCCATTCTATTGAGTCATTTACTGATTTGCATTGAAATCCCTTACTGCCTTTCAAAATTAAATGAATTAATTCATCAGATATAATCTTTAGAGCAGTACCTAGATGCATTGCAAGGCTGGGAGCTTCATAACTTTTTCTGATCGGATCAAAGCCTGTAAGTTCTCTCGTAGCAGAAAGAACTTGATCAAAGTTTTCTGGATCGAGAAGATCTTTGAATGCGACATTATTGTCATTTACACGAGCTCTATATATAATCAATAATCGAGCAAGTTCTCTTATCTTATTACTACATCTATACTCCTTCCGTTCCCGTTTTTGAGATTTCAAATAAGATTCTCCATAATGTGCTATCAGTAGGTCTTTTTACGCAACAAATGAAATCTCATCGCCCCTCATCATATTAAAAACCTGAAAACAGATAATAATAGATAATTTGAATATGTAATGGCAATTGACTAGTAAAAAAAGTCTAGTTAGCTGTAAAAAATTGAATACCATACATTAATAATTAAGAGAGAGCAATCCTAGTTATAATTTAGATTTTTTGTTTATTGTTAGCTGGCAAATTTGGTTCTATTACAAGAAGGCATATAAAATATCAATACCTGTTCTTTCAAGTTCAGCTTGGAAATTACATCAGTCGGATCTAGAGCACATGCAACCGTTGTTTGTGAAAGAGCTACATGATTAACTTTGAATTTTGTGTTCTCAGCTGATCTAATTTTTGCGGAACAGGTTTTAGCATGACGAATTAAGAAACTTCTCGCATATACAGCTTTACAGTAGACACAAGGATAATAAGTAATATTTGTGCCTTCAGAAAGTTGTTTCTTCGGACGAATGATTCCTTTCAGGTAAAGCTCAAAATTCTGTTCATTTCTTAACACACTTAGTGCCTGCTTTCTTTCTTTGCATTTTGCTGGAAACTCCAATGCTTTTTTTACATCTGTTTCGTGCTTATGATGTCTTATCAAATGCCTCACAAAATTTCTTGAGGTAACATCTTCGTCACAAAATTTGCAACTGACCTTTTTGTTTCTATAGTTTTCACTTTTCTGAAAATTAATAAGGATCAATTCAAGTTGAGACTATATTTTTACATATTATAATAAAAGACAAGCAACATTTAGATTGACAAAATCACTTTATTTTGATCCCAACTATCCACCTAACTATTATCTATGTATTGTTATTAAAGACACTGAACAATATTGCCGACACTGTATAAATAAATATACTTGGAAAATCAAAAATGGTTTACCTGTTCTTTTAATTTCTCAGCAACTGTTGTAACTAAGTTTTTTTGTGTAATATCTATGTTATTTAATTGTCTTACTTCTTCTTGTAGCTCATTTTCCTCAGAGCTTTCATAACTATCAGTATCGATTGATTGCACAATATCATCAATGTCAAAATCTTCATCATTGCTGTCTTTGCTGTTTCTAGTACATTGACTGTTTTCACTTTCGGACCAATTATTAGTGTTAAAATCCTTATCCCTACTGTAATCACTGCTGAAATTTTCATTCCCGCCATCATCAACGCAGTTAATATCTGATGTTTCTAAGTTCAGAACGTTGTTGAGATTACCAAATTCATCGTTATCATCTGATTTTATTGAAGCAAAATGCCTTTTTGGTCTATTTTGCTTTAAGTCTTCGTTATCATTCAATGAAGCCTTCGAGTGGGTGTATTTTCCACCACAATTATCTAATTGCTCTGGTAAAGGACATTTTTCTTTATATCTGTTAGATTCAGTGACATAAAAGCTGTCAGTAGCACAACAAATAATTGGTTGTATTTCTATTTCATTAGATATTTCAGAGATTTGGCCATAAATTCCCAAATTCTTGGTTTGATCTATTTTATCGTTAGTTTTTGATGTTCCATTTGACCTTACAGTTTGTTCTAAATTAGAAAGAGGGTACCATATTCCTCCATCCGAATCTATATCAAAATCGGGTTCAGGGTGGGACTAAAAGAAACAAAATTATTTTTTTCGGTTCTCTCAAACACACGCAAAACATTTTCACAAGAAAGTATGTACTTTCTTTTTTTATGGTCATTTTTTTCTAAACTCCTTGACAAAAGGATACCTAATTCAAGAATTCAGTTACCTTGCACAAAAAGTTGTTTTCGCAGCGCAACGCAACTCAACAAAACTTATTAAAACAGTTAGAGTTATTTGCAATTGCTCTATAAAGCAAGATAATGTGGGCTATAAAAAACTTTAGTGAAGTCACACAAATATTTGGAAAATAAATGATTAGGTAAAGCCTCATTTTTTATATTTTTTTAAGTTACCTCTAAACACAAAAGAAAATCTCCAAATTCTTATGAGTGCATAAACAAAACCTGAACTCACACTTGGTATCTAATCGTTCCCATTTTGGATTATTTTTCATGATAATATGATCAACTAATTTCATATGATACATATGTTTACTTATTACCTCTGGTGCGAAGGCGATGGTTTCCGAAGACGCTGAATCAGAGAGAAAACTACAGTTACTGCAGCAATCTAAATCCGGGCAACATGCTTTTTTCTTCTGGTTACTTGTGGCTATAGAATTATGCTGTCCATCTAATTCTATTAAAGATTTTCCATTTTTGTTGATGCATTCCAAGTCGGTTTGATTTATCTGTTTATGTTCCCGATCTTGTTCTAACATAATTTTATCTATTGGTCCACAAAGAATACAACATATTAATAAAAATATTGCAAATAGTAAACATTTCTACATTAAACATTGTACATCGCTCTTATTTCATAGAATATGAAAAAGTACAAATATTAATTTGATAATTTCCTGGCTAATCTTGCAACAATAATGAGTACCTACTTATCTTATAGGCTTGTACTATTTATAGTTAGTAAAATTTTCCGATACGATTTTTTGTATGCTGATTTACATATATCATGTTCATTTATAAATTAATGCATACCTATTTCACGTACTTATTTATCGGGAATTATGAACTTACCTTTCTGTTTAGCCATCTTCAACATTAATAAACTCCTAGCACTCATTATAAATTCTAAATTCAAAAACGAAACAGATTAACCCACAACGTGATACAAAATCCAGAACTAAACATAACCACAAAATACGAATTACCGCTCTTTTCCTTTACGCTGTTGCCAAGAGTGAATCCCGAAATAACGGAAAAAGGAGGGAACAGAGTAATAGATTTAATCCTATATAAACCGGAGGGAACTATGTGTGGCAAGTTTTTGTAATATAAACGACCCCAGCGCCGGTGGTGAACTGCCGAAGCCATCGAGTCAAAACGTGTGCATATATGGTTCAGACGACCTCCACCTGTTTTTTTGTGTAGTGATAGGAAACGACTCCTAGAGGCTAATGGCAAAAGGAATTAAGCGATACGTAGTACCCTCCGAAATTGGAGGGAAGTAGGTTATATATGAGGGAACTGCGATTGGTATATACACTTTTTGGAGGGAATAAAGAACACATTATACGTATATATATATATATATATATATATATATACACAGGGTTACAGGAAAAGTCGTGCTAGATCCGTTAAGGGCGTGTAGTACCCATCATTTCTGACTTATTTCATTATGAAACACCCTACCCTAAACTTAACCCTTTTCGAGATATTCAACTTTTAATGTTTTTATTGAAAATTGCCGATTTTTAGGCTACTAAATGTATTTATTTTTATTTTGTGTGTGTTATTATTACTATTATTGCATTTTAACATGTGTAATAAGATGCTTTAGGACGTCAATCATTAAAATAGTCCATAAGTTAATTGAATAGGCTGTAGTAGATAAGTGAATGTTAAGAAATTGAAAAAAATATCAGAAAGTTTATTTTTCTCTAAGGGATATCTAAAAAAAATATTATGGCAATTGTTCGGCAGATGTGTTTTAAAATATCTATGTTTTATCAGCTATCTAACGAGGTATAACAATCTAGGATTTTATTTAAATGCATTGAAAAAACTTAGTTTCATAGGCGACAGTGGAGAAGAAAATTGATACTTAGCCCTAAAAAGTAAAATAAAACAATAGGTAAGCATGAAATATCATTTATTAAATCAGGTTTTCACACAACTTTTTCTTACTCTACAGTTCATGTTCAACATGGCTGCCTCTGTTTCTAATACATTGTCGCATCCTTCTACGGAGACCAGTCTTTACAACTGCAGTGGTCAACGTTGTCCTTAGTTGATTTGCTGCATCGACAATCCTTTCTCTTAATTCTTCCACAGACGAAACTGGATTTGGCTCGCTGTAGACAAGACTTTTCATGCACCCCCACACATGAAAATCCATGGGGGTTAGGTCCGGACTTCTTGCTGGCCATGGCAACGGCCCACCTCGTCCTATCCATTTGTTTGGATAATTTGTGTCCAGCCAGTCTCTGACACTTCTCCTGAAATGGGCAGGGCAGCCATCATGTTGGAACCACATGTCCCTTCTCAAGTTGAGTGGCAGATCATCCAGCAAATCTCTGAAGTCTCCTCTCAAGAAGTTTTCGTAATTTTCCCCATTTAGATTGTCCGGGAGAAAGTAAGGTCCAATCAAATGGTTGGAGATAATGCCCATCCACACATTCACGCTGAATCTTCGTTGGGACCTCGCCACTCTTTTCTTATTGGGATTCCTTAGTACTTTTGGGGCCCAGTAATGGGCGTTGTGATAGTTAGTTATGCCATCGTTATCAAATTTGGATTCATCTGTCCATAAGATATTTCTTAGAAAATCTGGGTCTTCTACGTCAGCATTTAGCATAAATCTGCTGAAGTCCAACCTTCTCGCGGGGTCTCCTTCTTCAATAGTGTGTACCGGCGTGTAATGGTACGGGTATAGGCCAGCAGTATGCACTGTAAACCACACTCTCCATTGCGAAAGTCCCAGATCACGGGCAACACGATTAGTGGAAATGGTCGGATCCGCTCGAAAGCGTTGCACTATCTCATTGTCCTGCAGTTCTTCGTTGTCATAAATTTGTGGTCTTCCCAGGTCTGTATTTCGTCTCAAAACAGAGCCAGTTTCTCGAAGTCTTAGATAAACTCTGTTAAAAACGGCCACATCCGGCACTCGACGACCGGGGAAGCGAGTTCTGTATTCGTTGCGAGCTTGCGCAGATACACAATCGCAGTATCCGTAACAAATAAGCATATCAGCATATTCCTCAGGTGTGTAGGACGTCATCTTCAACACTTCCGTATCACAAGTACAAATCAGAGTCCAGTGAACAAGCACAGTATTCACAAATCAGAAGAAATAGTCCAGAATCGTAGCCAAGTCGAGAAAAGAGCAAAACGATATCACATCTACTATGTACGAAGCACAAAAGCAGACTGACAACCAAAACAACATCCCGTGATTTCCAGCCCTAACCGGTTATTATAATATGTTTTCTTTCATTCGCACCCACATTAAATCGTCATGTCTCGCTCGCACGGTGCGTCTAAACTTGAAGGAGAATAGGCGTGGGAACTGCTACTGGAGCGTCCCAACTACTTTTTTTCTACGAAATGTAATACAAATCCTAGATTGTTATACCTCGTTAGATAGCTGATAAAACATAGATATTTTAAAACACATCTGCCGAACAATTGCCATAATATTTTTTTTAGATATCCCTTCGAGAAAAATAAACTTTCTGATATTTTTTTCAATTTCTTAACATTCACTTATCTACTACGGCCTATTCAATTAACTTATGGACTATTTTAATGATTGACGTCCTAAAGCATCTTATTACACATGTTAAAATGCAATAATAGTAATAATAACACACACAAAATAAAAATAAATACATTTAGTAGCCTAAAAATCGGCAATTTTCAATAAAAACATTAAAAGTTGAATATCTCGAAAAGGGTTAAGTTTAGGGTAGGGTGTTTCATAATGAAATAAGTCAGAAATGATGGGTACTACACGCCCTTAACGGATCTAGCACGACTTTTCCTGTAACCCTGTATATATATATATATATATATATGTAATTTCGGAAAGGTTTTCAATAATTAATTAATCATCAATTCTTCTAAATCCGTTAGAGGCTTTTTGAAATATTGTGTACAAAAGATTTGCCGACTTCCCAATAAAATATAAAGGATACTTTCTCCTACGAGTTAAAAGGCAATTTAACTATGTACACTATATATATACAGGGTGACTGAAGTTGAGTCATTAATTTTCAGATAATGATTGTAGAAGGAAGATAAACCAAAATATGTGTGTAAAAATAAAAAAAATGATACCTTGTTTTATAAAATATCCTCCCGACAAGTATTTCAGTGCGGACCTGTATTTGATCGTGCGGTCTTGGAGCACCGGCATGACCTCCCCTGTGAGGTCTTAAGTCACCTGATTCACGAGCCCTTTGTACTACATTAACAAAGGCACGAGGGGTTGGTTGCACTCGATTGGGAAACCGATTCGTATAAATCGGTAATGCTGGGGCAGCATTTTGTAAAGACTCCCCCCCCCGTAAATAAGAATCATGTCCACAAGTTCACCATTTTCGTAAACATGTGCCATTTTTTATTTCGTTGGAGCCACGCAACAAACACCACTATTCACTCACGCGTTACCGACTGACACATTGACTGAATACGACTGAATAAAATAAATGAATAAAACATCGTGATAAGCATTTCAAATTCTTTCGCTTTTTTGTTTCCGATGCGATGAACCGATAAGGCGGATTATATCCGTTGTTGCCAAACACGAGCACATAATATTATTATTGAGACAGGGCGATACTCAAACTTCTAAAGGGCTATAACTTTGTTACTTTAATTTTACCACAAAAATATTGAAGGAAAAAAACATTTCTTTTGATCAGACCTACTCACTGTTAAAATAAATGACTCAACTTCGAAGTCACCCTGTATATATATATATATATATATATATATATATATATATATTATTTGATTACAGGACCCTTACAGATAGGTGGCGTACCTGTAGGTTACTCCGGGGAAGGTCAAATAGAAGCCCGAAATTTTGATGGCTGCATATCTGATGTGAAAATAGACAATCGCCCACTGAACTTAGCCTCCTACGTAACTGACAATGGAACTGCTCCCGGTTGTACACAGAAGAGACCCAGATGCACAACTAAACCCTGTCGTAATGGCGGAGTGTGTATTGATGGATGGAATGCTTTCAGGTAATCAGATATCGACAAGGCAAAATATGCCGGAAAAAAATTCGCAACTCGACTTCTTTCACATTCACGTTTGGTGGATTCCCCTTTACATAAATCAATGGTTTGCCGGTTGATTTGTTTTAACATTTTTCAAACAAATTTTAAAAAATGTCATTTTCACTCCGACGAAGGGGCCTAGGTTTTTTGAGTTAGTCTGAACAAAAAAGGTCATTAGTAACTCATCTCTAAAGATGACTGTTTTCGAGTTGCAAGACACTTGAAATCTGAAAACTGGACACTTTTACAACAATAATACAAAAAGTATCATATGTCATTAACACCTAAATCAATGCTGAATAATGCATAACCAACTTCACCAAAAGAAATATCAAAATTAGCACACATAACTCTAACAGATGACCACAGTAGTAAGTTTATTTCTGGACGCTCTCAAAAGAATACTACATCCAGACATGAGTTGGGCGTAGGAACAAAGAGATTAATTTGAGATAGGAATGTAGATGAATCAATCCCGCCATTAGGGAGTTTCTAGAGACACATTACAGATGCATGCTTACGTGGAGATACTAATTAGTGAGTTTCAAATCTACTTAAAAGCATGTGAGAATCACAACCACGCTCAGGGTAAACAGAGTCAGACTTAAAAGCCATATACTTCAAATCTTTCTAGAATATAGTCTATGCCATTAATGTAACATTGGTCATAGAGACTCCACACGACAGCTGCATATCCAATTTAGAACAAACAAAAGCAAAGTATAGTATTTTGAGCGAAGAGATTAATGTTGTTCAAAGGGTAATGGTATAAAATGTTCTGTTTCGGAATATACGTAATAACTTTGTATTTGCCGACATTAAGAGCCATACTATTACTTTCACACCATTCATCAATAGCAACTAGTTGAATTTGTAGCCATGTACAGTCTTCTAAATTGTTAATTCCTGCAAAAATTTTCGGGTCGTTCGCAAATACTAACCTCCCACACCTTAAGATGTCACACAAGCAATTTTTCATTAGAGCCTTCGTGGTACCCCTGAAATAGGAATAAAGCAATTTGATTGATGTACATTATAAGTAACACTGAGTTTTCTATCAGTTAAGAAGGAACACAGAAGATAAAGTGATTTCTCAATAGAACACAAAGCATTCGTCCACTTGCATTACCACTT